TTGTAAGTTTGTAAAAATAAGAATGTCATACTAACATCAGAATAACATTCCTTCAGCTGAGTTTAGCACTGACAGGCTGTTTCTGATGAGCTTACTCTTTGGACTTTAAGTCCAACTTAACTTTTTCAAGTTGCTGCATTAAAAAAATCAGTGGAGATCAATGTTGTCCCTACTGCTGATAAAAAAGAATTCGACTCAGGGAAGGGACATATAAATGAAAAGAGAATGCATCCCCTCCAGCCAATCACACCTCAGATTATATATCACTATTCTCTGACACAGCCTACAAACAATATTCAATAAATGTGTGATTTGAGCTCAGCATTGTGATGACTTTGGCCACAGTAAAGCAATAGCTAGAGCCAACATTTATCTTAATGTGCAGTAATCCGATTTCAGATTAATGATTTGTATCAATAACAAGTAATCGACATATTTCTGATAATTTGCAAACATCAGCTCTTAAAAGCTGGTTTCTCTTTATCTGCTAATGTGTAACGGCACTCGCTTTTATCTCTGTTACGGGAGTCACAACATAAAGTAGAGTTAATCTTGATTATGTCATACCTCGTTAGTGTCGAACCAAACTGTGTCTGGTTATTTGTTCCCAGGCTGCTGAGGATGAAGTGTTAAAAAGCCTTTGGTGTAATAACAAGGCTGCCATGTAAATATTTGTTTCTGCAGTGATGACAAGGGAGACTGAATAGACCCACATATTGTGTTAAAGGCATCAGTTACTGCCAATGTGTGAAACACTTGACATGCTGGAGAATAGTCAGCTGAACTGTACTTTAAAGTATATGTCACATTGATTCCTAAGATTTAAAGGATGGAAAAATAACTTTACCCATGTGTAAATGCTTTTTTAGCATTAGTTGGTGCACAAAGTTAAAAAAAAAAAAAGTCTTCTCTGGAATCAGAAAATACTTTTTCCCTACAGACAACATTAGAATATCCAGTTCAAAAAAAAGAAAAACCTGCTGTAAACTTTTAAACACTGCTAAACACCAACAATCTCTTGCATTTCAACACAGATGGTGCCGTAGGCGTTAAGATACACAAGCACATCTTGAAAATGGCAGTAATTAATATATGAGTTTTTAGGATTGCTATGGTCCATGAGGCAAGCATAGAGGCAGATAAAGACGCTTATGTAATGAACTACCTCCACTCTGCTCTTTGCATCAGATTCAAAGTTAGATAGTGGAATGAAAGAAGAGGATATTAGAAATGCAATGTCTAATGTATTCATAAGATGATTCAAATTCAGAGCATGGTGGTGACTGGCTTCTGGTTCAGTTACCTTCTCAGAAGGTGTTCAGGGTCACTAACACATTTTCTAATATTGCAAAATAAATGCACAAATGCTTTTCAAAATGGTCTCTTTAAGACTGGCATGACAATTATACAATTTTCCACTGTGCTAAGCAGCACAGGTAGGCTAAAAGTGTGAGAGTGGCTGGCTGGTTTGAGTCTCCATGACATCAAGTCAGTCATTAATGGCTGTCACACAGTGCCGCCTGACTGATTCGCGGGGGAGGCGGAGAGAGCCCGAGGAACATGTTTTTTTCCTTTAGAATTAACGTTCAACTGTGGTCTGGATTCATATCCCTGAGAAATGCAGAATGACTTCTTTTATCATTCAGAAAATCACCCTGGTGGAATGATTACCTTTAGCCCATGGAACATCACATTTGCTAATACTGTTCACTGATCTCATGATCTCTCAGGAAACATAAGGCCCCAGCTCTCTGTCACCCATGAAAGGGAAAAGGAGGAGGTGGGCTTGACCTGAGCAATTGCTAATACATCCACAGGCCAACAGGGCTAAATGGGGCAGATCTAGTGCCTGAGCTCACATCACATACTGGAGGGAGAAGAAGCTGTGAGGGAAAGTAGCTCATCATGCTTTATGTTAACTTTGTAGATCAGGCAGTATTACTGCCTTTGCATGAGAATAACAGCTCTCATACAAGTACACAGTTGAAGAAGAGAAGAATGCTTTGTCTCTCAGCAAGAACTGTATATTTTAAAAACTTAAGCACATGTTTGATATTTTGGTTACATATTACATATTTTGTACCCTCGGACAAGAGCCTGGTTTGCATAACCAAAACCATTATAAAGCTGCATAAGGAAAAGTGCATTTTAGAGAATATCCCTTTAGAAGAGGGAAAGTAAATAACATCTGATATTAAGAGAGGCCCAGTCTATCCTTGGAACAAATCTGAGTTTTGCACACGGTTGAACTATCCCAGGCGTCGACAACCTTCAACATCAAAAGAGCCATTTTAGCTCCTCCTACCAAACGATGGACGAAAAAGATCCACACAAATGGGTGTTGATGATGGATGTAACTAGGACAGGAATTAATGCGTAGAGTGTATGTATTAATAAGGTCATTTGTGGTTAACCCTAACCCGAGTCACATGTGACTCTTTATAGGTGATATCCTTTGCAGGCAGCCAATTAGATCCAGCTTGTCACCATTTTCCTGACCTTTCCTGACCTTTTGACATTTCATAAGTCCAACCAACTTGTAGAATACGAGTGAAGAAACTCTGCAATAGCACATCTGTTTGGCCCATTCAAGTGAAGTTGTGTAATAAACACTGGGAATTAAGGGATTGCAATTTATTTTTAGCTTACCTCAAAAGGATATCTCAGGATATTCACAGCACAGAGTTTAAACATTTAAGACACCCGGTCTCTGTGGTGTAACTAGTGTATCATGGGAGTTATTAGGTCTGACGTCTTTGGACAGAGGTTTAGGGAATAACAACCTTTTAACATTCTTTTCAAAAGAATAACATTCTTTTGCCTCTCCAATTTTTATCACTGTAGAGTGATGGATGTATTATCATCCTACAAAAAGTTTTCTCTATATTTGGAAGCCATACAGCAGCATGCCACCTGCAATACAGTCATGGATCATTGCTCATTTTCCAGTTTATTTCTCCAAATTGCATTTTTTTCTTTGTTATTGATTGCATTTAAACATAAAAGTAAAACAAAAGTCACAGATAGTGTTACATTTCAAAATATCATAGAAAGAAATAAGCGCTATTAGAGGCACTTGAAATATGTCAAAAATAAAGACTTAAAACACTTGGGGATGAATCAAACAGGCAAGAAACATAGTTTTAGACCTATACACCTGAACCAGAATTGGAATGGGGGGAGAGAAAGCAGCCAAGGCAGCAGTAACTGCTTGTTGTGACTTGTAAGAGAGAGCTCAGTCATCCCTTTGACTGGCTAACTGTGCTGAGACACATTGTTTCTCTGTTTTGGGTGGATTATGAGGGAACATGTCACAACAGCAGGTTTTTGACAAGGTCTCGGGTGTTTGCTGTCTTGTGCATTACTGTTAGGAGCGCTGATGAGGCCTAATGAGGTTTTAATCCACCAAGAGTCATTAGTGGCAGGTCATCTTAAAACAATCTAAGGTCAGACTGTATTAAAGGTAGAGAGGTTCAACTCCCATGGGGTCACTGAGCATGACAGAGACACTTAGCAGCTTCTGTTTGTTCACAGGAAGAGACTGTCTCTACTGGGTTGACACATTTTTTACATATTACAAACAGCCAAAAGGCAAGGCAGTTGTTGTTTTTCGTTACATTTGTACATAAATAAAAAATTAAGTCAATAAGTACATTTCAGTTTGTATCTTTGTTCTTCATTTATACACTTTTCCTTCATTTCAAAGCCTGTTGCTGATCTAAAGACCAGGCAAAGAAATCCAACCACAGCTTTTGACAGGTGGCTTTTACCTTACAGTTCAAATCTTCCCCAGGGCAGCTTTCTCAAACTTGAAAAGATGTGTTAATTAATATGTTTTGCCCCTAGAGGAGTGTGAGTCATCAAGATTTTACCGTATGTTTACAGAAAGGATTTTGGGGCTGTTTAGAGTGCAGATTTGCAGAAAGCATATTTTTTGAAAGCATCATCTCCTCCGGGTGAAGCTTGCTAATCCAAAAAGCTTGCCCTCTTTTTTCCTCACTGGGGTCTTTATGAAAAGTGCTGTAAAATTACGGTGATTATAATCAAAATGATGATAATGATGTACTGTAAAGGTAATGGAAGCTGTAGGAGAAGCTGCAAACACAGCTGCTGAGCTAGAAGACGTTCGGCGTTACAGAAAACTTTGTTCAAAAGCTGATTCTACTGCAGTTTAATACCAGACAAGGAAAAGGTGAAGTGGTCAGCGTGTGTTGATACATCTTGCACAGCATATTTTACCCATCAACAGATCTAATGAAATAATAATATAATAATAATAATGACGGTTCCAAAACCTGACCCAAACCCTTTCGGTTTTTTATGCTACATTTCAGCTGACTGGTTTGAGCTATGGTTTTATGAATTTTAAACCTGAAGGACAATAGCTGTAGATGAGGCCACAGCATTACTATATAGAAAGAGCAGGAGTACAGCAAATACACAGCCCAAAAGTTAGCTTAAAATCTGTCTACATATGTGTGTATCATTTATCCTTTGTTACTGGCATGAACAACTGAAAAAATCTCTGTGCACTGTTTAGCAAAACTAAATGTAGCAGCAGTAAGTGACAGCCAGACACTTAAAATAAGTCATGCAAAGAGCCCGAGATAATTGGTGTGCATAAGACTGGTGTCAGGAGGTTACAGGTACACCCCTCTCCCTCTGAGAGGCTTTCTGAACAGCTCTGTCATGAGGGATAGTAAGTGTCTGCTTGTTCCACTAGAAATGTTGGGAGTAATTGAACTAAACTGTCATTCACAAGCTACAAATCGTGGTTTTCTCCTGGCTGGAATAATGCCACCTTCTGCTGTTGGTGGTGTAATTCAAATTTTGATCATGAGGTGTAAACATTTAGAAGCATCCATGTGAATATTCATCATGTACAGAGGGCCTGCGAGTGTTGGTGGAGGAGCTGGTGCGGCTCATTTGCGGTTGGCCTTATGCCTGTGCATGCTGAGAGGGTTTGCCCTGCACTTATTGACATGTTCTTCTCTAAACAGCTCCGTCCCAGGTCAGCGAGGTCATCAAAGAGAGAGTGCAGCAGCACAGCGTCCACCTCTCCTGGCAGGAGCCCCAGCAACCCAACGGTGTCATCACAGAATATGAGATCAAATATTATGAAAAAGTAAGTTTGCGCTACATTTGTTTGTCTGTGTCTCTTCCCGAAGCACCATTTCTTTTTTTGCCCACTCCAACTCATTTTGCATTCTGTTTGCACGTGGCTGTGAGTGGAATGCACAAGATTCTGCAAGTACCTTCTTTGTCTCATAATTGCAATAATGAATGAGATGCTCATAAGATTTTAATCAGGCTATAGTCCTTCACAGCCACCCCCACACACATGTTAGCACACGCGCAATCCATGGCTGCTGCTCTGCTAGAATTAGTAATCTGTTACTGTTATCTCCTTTCCCGTTCTGCATAGATTATGCTACTGTTTCACTGTGTTTCAAGTCTGAGCGCATCAGCTTTTTGCTGCGAGGTTTAACGAAGTGAATTTAACCCAGCAAATCAAAGGCAGAGTAGCAGAGCGCTGATGTCAGTCCTGCTGGCCGCAGTCTCTTGTGTACACTGACGAATCAGTCTTCTGTGTCACGTACTATGGCTGTGGTCTGCCCAGCTGTAAAAGTGGAAAGTTGGAAGAAATGACCGCACCCGTAACAGAGCCTGGCATTCCATTTGGGCTTTTGCTGAGCAAAACATTTACAGATCAACAGCAAAGCACACAGCGCGTGCAGCCTGTGAATCCAAATGTATTCCTTGATGGAAAAGATATTTTCAGATGCCTTTATGTTCTCCTCGAGGCATGCTGCCTAATGGTAGATAATGATTTCAGTTAGAACTTTTTGTCTTCTAGAATCTACAATCAGAAAAATGTGATGTTCACCATTTTCGTGACATAAATTCTGAAAGTCGTAACAAAGGCCAGGCTAAAACTACAGTGATATAACTCAGTCACTGATTATTCTTATTAATAAGCTTCATTTACCTTAACTTTGTCATTTTAAAAAGTTGTGACTCACGTAAATTTGAATGTAAATGTCATCAGCAGTAATGTGAAAGCATTTCAAAATGCTAATAAAGACAACTTATACTATATAAAATGGGTAAAATTACCTTTTTTTTTCCTGTGCAGGATCAGAAGGACCGGATTTACTCTACTGTGAGGTCAAAGTCCACATCAGCTACGGTGAACAACCTAAAGCCCAGCACAGCCTATGTGTTCCAGATTAGGGCTTTCACAGAAGCAGGATATGGCACCTTTGGGCCTAGACTAGAGATAACCACCAAAGAAGAGGCCACAGGTAGGGCTTAGTGTTTCTGTCACCATGCTTTACAGTTTTATGCATTGTTGTAATAATCATTGCAAGTAGAAATAAAGGCTGTCCTCTATAACTTCCTTAGATTTCACCATATTCCTGAAGTATTAATGCTGACCATATTTCACTTTTTGCGATACTCAAGTGTAGCAATTTAGAGTACCTGACTTTAAAACTTAGAATAAATCTTTCTGGCAGTTGATAACTTTTTTTTCTAGTTGGTAAGACTGCCCATTGCTTAATCAAGTCATCACAAGGACTAACACTCCAAGGCAGTGAATCTTTATAGAGTCTATGACCTAATTTATGTAAGTGGCCTAGTCATGGTCTTGTCCTGGTATTTTATGTACTGAAACAAATATAATGCTTGGACTTTTTTCCTGCCTGGGTCCCCAATCTTTGTTTATGATTGTTTATGTCGTAGTTAGTTAGTTAGTACATTAATCGGGGGGTGCACATCACGTTAAGTTGTGGTGGAGTTTGCGATTACGATAAAGCTATGGTGAAGTTTTCACCCTGAAGGATAAATCCTCACTATAAGACTACACCAATATTTTGGAGACAAGTAAACATGACTTTTTTCCTTTTGGAAACAATTTAAATCATAGGTGTCAAACTCTGGCCAGACTAATTACATTTGGCCCGCGAAGCCATACCAAATTACTATTAGAGTTGGCCTACTGGTATTATACAGCTAATATATATATTGTTTAGTATTAAGCTTTGCTTGTTCCATATTCAGTTTTTCAGCAAAACGTGTTTGAGTCCATAAGAAAAGATTCATTCTTATATCTGGAGGAATAAATATATTTCAATAAATATTAATGTTAGCCCGCAACTTTGTTCCAGTTTTGAATTTTGGCCCACTGTGTATTTGAGTTTGACACCCCTGATTTAAATAGTTGGTGATGTTTGTATCACTGGCTATTTTTCCCTGATTGCCAAGACTTGGAAGAGCAATTATACAATAAAAAACACAAAAACTACATATTCTGATAGCATAGATTTAGCTTTAGGGCCCTCACCAATGAGGACTCTCATCTTCTCTGTGTTACTTTAGCAACATTTATAGGGTGATATGAGAATGTGATAAATGGCAATTAGGTTTGCACAATTTATTACTTTATTTTAGATCAAAATGAACCACATAGGGTGCCACAGTAGCTCACCTGGTTGATTAGGTGACCTACATACCAACAATTACTGCAGAGGCCTGGGTTTAAGCATGTGTCAGTCACCCACATTCTTTCTCTGTCAGCCCTCCTTTCCTGTATAACAAAGGTAAAAAAAAAAATCAAATACCGGTATTAAAAATAATTAATTAATAAATTTACACTTAATTGTGGTTAATCGTCGATCCATGTGGGCGGAAGCAGTATGTGGTTTAGTTAGGCGCAGCAGTATGACTCCAGTTTAACTGATGCTGGGCCACAGCAGTGCACTAACTGTAAACAAAAGATAGATTTTCAGTCTGAAGTGAAGGCGCTATGGAAGTGTGTGAAACCTGCATTCTCTCTAACGGCCAGCAGGGGGCAACTCCTGTCTTTTTGTTTTGGTAATGTTATACAGATTGTATGGAATTCTATAGTAAAAATGACCCTCAGCACCCTTTAATCTCTAGTTTCATGGTGAGTTTATGATTTTCTCTGATTAAGTCTGAGATCCCTATTAGAGTCAAAAAAGATGTTTTGGGTGTGTCGAACAAACCTATTTCAAAACACCTAATGACGAAAATATTCAGCGTGAGCTTTATAAGATGGGACTCTGTGGCTGTAACACAGTTTTCCCCACTCAAATATTTAGGCACAACTTGTTAATATTTCCTTCTACTGTAGTAATAGCCCAGGGAAATTAGTTGCTTTCAAGCAATGCAAACACAAATTGCTTTGACTTTATGCTGACAACACATCGTGGGAAAAATCGCTAAGCACAAGGACAAACTGCTGTAGTGTCGAGAGGATAAACACATTACATTAGCTCAGCCCTGAGTTTTAAAGTGTGTTATTGAAAGTCTGGCGTTATACAATTTTGTGAAGGTCGCAATCCCTCTGTTGACATAGAAACATTGCCGGGTTACTGTTAATGCCCTTTTTTTTTTTTGTGATATTTATAAATTTACTATAATATTAAAGAACAAATGATATGCTTTTTAAACAGCAGCAGCAATAGTTTGGAAGTTATTAGCGGTTATGAATTTGAATAAATCTTTAATGAAGGAGTTGTTACGGAATAACACAATAAATGGATATTGGATCTTTAACGTGTTTTCCGAAATTAAGCAGGCACACTGCTCTTTCTGAGACTGCCAAAGGGATTTTTCGCGGCTTGGTAACCCAAATGTTGGAGTATGTAAATATTTATTTTATTTTTTTTAGCATTAATAAAGCTTGAATTGTTTCTTTTTTTTTCCTTTTTGTTTTCTTTTTTTTAAAAAGTACCCAAAAACAAAGTTTGAGCTTTTTCCTCATTTAATCCTCTTTTTGCATTAATTTCTCTTTAGTTTTGAGATCTACCATCCAGCCTGTTCACCCAAAATTACACCCTTGCCCATTTTACATCCAACATTTCTGCATAAAAGGACACGTTAATTACTCATAACCACATGCCGAGTGTGTCCTGTATCAAGGTTAGAAGTTTGCAGTCTAGGCATGGTTGTGATAATGTCCTTGACCGAGACAGTGAACCACAGCTTCCAGAGGAAAACCTGCAAGTGTGTAATATGACAGTAAAATTCTTCTCCAAATAGATGATTGCTAATATTGATTTTTGATTGGACAAAAGGCACATGACAGATTTTTTTATAGCTTCCACTTTTTTCCTGATACTGCATATTTACACAGTGCGGACCCACTTGATCTGAAATGCACAAGTATCCTCTTTTTACGATTGCACTCACCAGTTTGTCAGTGCAAACTGTCTGAGCACAGTGAGAGCTGTGCATGGGAAACAATTCAACCTGAATGTGTCTTTGTTTGAGATGAAGGGCATCGCTGTCGCCGTCTGGGACTATTAAGCCCACTTTCTGAAACAGTAGAGCCGTGTGTATAAGGACAGCTCAAAAATAGAAACGTCCCTCTTCCACTCTCTCAGAGGTTAGGAAAAGGGTGGGGGGTGGGGCACGTTATCAATCTCCATGCTACTCAATGGGCTCAATTACCAAATGTCCTGCAGATTGTAGTCTGATGTGCTGAAGTTCACTCAAAGTGTTTCCGTTTTTCTTTGGTGTGTGTGTCCATTTCATCAGCTGCAATCGTCTCTAGTGAGCAGAACCCCGTCATCATCATTGCAGTGGTGGCCGTGGCGGGGACCATCATACTGGTGTTCATGGTGTTTGGCTTCATCATCGGGAGAAGGTACGCTCTCGCGGGCCCCATTGACTCTCCGCTCCTGTGAGTCTGCGCTTGTCAATTAGCTTTTCTGTCACTCACAAGACCTCCACGCCAGTGGAGTCGTCACTCACTCACGCACGCACACACAGTGCACACGCATACACACACATCCACCCGTCATCTTGTGGCATGCTGTGCTAATGGGCTATGAGGCATCATTTTTCTTTTTTTTCCACTCTAAACAAAATTTAAGCTATTTTTTGCAGTACCATTATGAAACAAGCACTCAACAATGAGAAAGCTTTGGCTCTGCATTCCTGTGTGTGAGTGTATGAAAAATCCTGAGGGCAAAATGAAGTATGGTGCTGATGTTTTTTTCCACCATCACAAAGCACCCAGTCCACTGTCATTATCACCATTCCCTCACACATTTTATCTGTTTTCATCTATACAAGTGGAATTTCATCCATGATTCATGATGGATTCATCAGAATCGGAGCATTCTAATCCAAGGTGGGCTTTTTGTGTCAAAAAAAAAGTGGCTCAGCGCTCACAGGTAGAATCAGCATGATTTTACATGACATTAATAAAGTGAGCTCTGACTGTGGTAACATCACCCTTTCTGTGTGCATCACATTAGTGATGCAAATGAATTAAACCGTTAAATGATATTCATGAGAGCATCCCCCATTGCTTGCAAAACTAAAGGTTTCTTTTTAAAATATTTTTTTAATTATTATAACTTTGTTGGTCATACTATTAAGTACTAATGAAGTTAGTTAGTTCATACATCTTCAGTCGAGTCATATGTCATTATTTTAACTATATACAATATATGAAAACATACAGATGAGTAAGTCACATTGTTAGAAATATGTGTTTTACAAGATACAGAGCATAATTATTTTTTTCCTTTTGCTTGTATAAGAAAAAGCATAAAAAAATAAAATAAATACATAAATAATCGCTGCTTCAGGTCACTGTATAAAACACCATCTTCAGAGTTGTGTCTTTGCCACATGCTACCTAAAATATCATTATAGAGTTGTTGCAATTAATGAATTATTTAAATTTTGAACTATTTGAGGAGCAGATAGTAACATAGGTCCCTACCTCCAAGTCTCTGAAACTTGATTTAAAAGGTACCAATGTTTATGTGTTGGAGCTGTAACTGTTGTTTTGGAAATTGTGTTGTTTTTTTTAGTAGTTGCCTGAAATGCAGCCTGACCGCTAGGCCTAAGAGGTTTGCTGTTAAATGCTAATTCAATTCAATTCAATTTTATTTATACAGCGCCAAATCACAACAACAGTCGCCTCAAGCGATCATATGACCCCCAATGAGCAAGCCCTTTGGCGGCAGTGGGAAGGAAAAACTCCCTTTTAACAGGAAGAAACCTCCGGCAGAACCAGGCTCAGAGAGGGGCAGCTATCTGCCGTGCCCAGTTAAGGAGAGAGAAGGAAGGCAGGATAAAAGACATGATGTGGATGTGGAATGTTAAGTAGTGAAGTCTCCACAGGATTCTGCTGAACATGGCATGTGCACAACATAAATTGGTACTTTTACTTTGGGATGTTCTGTGTAAGCTCCTTCAATATCTCTTCTCTCAAAAAAGCAACAAACAATACAAGCTTTATGAGACTGCTAAGGCTCAGAATGTCCCATCAACATATGTCCTACTATGTATGTGTGACAAATAATTTCCACTTAAACCTACTCACAACATACATAACGTGAATAAGACCATCTAACACCATTTCTGAGTAGCATACTCCATTTCTGGACAAAGCATGTAAAAAAGATCAGAAGTCTTCCTTGAATTTGGAGACAGACGAACCAAAATACTTCACTTTAGACAGAAAAAAATTCTCGAATCTTAAAACATGTAGTAGAAACAAAGGAGACATGCTTTTCTACATACGTGAGCATTTTCATCCACAGTAAGTGCATGTCCATCATTTGTGGCTTATTTAATCTTCCTATGTCATTCACCTTTTTTCACAAAGACCAGCCTTGTCCAGCAAATCACTTGCTTAAGGGAACCTTCAACACGTTAATATTGCAAGACGTGTTGAAAAGTACTTTACAGTGCATGTATTATTGGATATCTTACATGATTAGATGCTTGAGCTACTTTTCCTAGTTGAGGCTGTTGGGTTCACAGCTCCTGCTGCTCAGCTGGGTTTCTTGAGGGATTTGTCTTGCATTAAAATTCTTGTAAATTAGGGCATTTATTTCCTCTGCACAATCAGTTGATTCTGCTGCTCTCTTCGTCTTCCGCTTGTACAGGCACTGCGGGTACAGCAAAGCTGATCAGGAGGGAGATGAGGAGCTCTACTTCCAGTGTGAGTGCCTGCATTCCTTATCCGCAAACACACTTACAGCACTTGTATGTAGATGGTATACACACACGCACGCACATACAAATATTGCATCGATGTCTAGGCCTTAAAATCTTTTAGCACTTCGAGGCATGTCTGTTTCATCCCAACTCATCTATCAAGCAAAATCTGTTGCTGATTTGCTAGACTCAGCCTGTTGAGATAAAGAAGTCAGGGGCCAAAAACACATGAATCTGACAGCTGCCAGGCAGGGATAAAAGGACTGACAAGCATACAAAAGGGAGTCCTTTAAAAATGTAACCATAAGGCAGGTGGTTTTAGTAGTTGACAGGGTTTTTGGTGTGCACACAGTTGTAGCTGCTGCTTTTATCATTTAGGTATTTTTTTTTAAAACTGATACACCACCCCTAATAATAACCCTGGAGCTCCAGCTGCAGACAGCTTTCCCAAGTGGAACCATAATGATCTGCGCTGTAGGCAAACTGCTGATTTGGAAACAAAGGGTCAGGGGTGTCACTAAGTGCATTGCTAGAGCAGAAGCAGTTCTAGGTTGGCTACTGCTAAGTATCTGATAGATCCACCTGAACAGATCACAGCTCAACCCAACCTGCCAGGGGAAAAAGCACTGGGAGAAAATACAAACAATGCTAGATTTGGGCTTAATGGACAGATCTGCTGTGCAATATCAAATGACGGGAGACTTCCAGGGTGACAGAGAAGCTAGATAGCACATAAATCCAACATGTAGACCCAATTTGTCTGCCATGAAGAGGCGAGGAAGTCATGATAAGACATCTCCTATCAGATCCCAGACGTCTTGGATGGACGAAGCAATTATCCGAGCAAGTCGAGGGAAATCTCAGCTGCTGGTGTCCCCTTGCCGGAGCACAATGCTTTAGCTGTATTTACACTGGTGCATTGAATAGACTGCTTTTCAGAGAATAATTGTCTCTCCGATTGAATGTGCTCGTTGTGCTGTTGTGTTGTTTTTGACCAGAGTCTTATAGCTGTAGTGTCTCATTAAATTTTTTAAGTTGACAGGTTATGTTGTTATCAGTGTAAATTTCAAACACACACTGTAACAACCCCCAAAAGTGGTCTGTTAACCTAATAGTGCATAATATTGTAATTTACTGTTAATTTGGAGAGCTGTTTGAAATAGTAACCCCCTCCCTGCCCCCGTCCTCTCCCTAACCTTGTTTTGTTTGATTTATTTCCAACAAACTGTTTTTGGTCTTACGTAATGGATATTCATGAACCGTTCCCTTATCACTGATGTTGGGAATTGCACAGAGTTAATTTTAAGACGTTCCCAAATGCCTAGGGTGCCAGAGTCTAACAAAAGTAGCAAACCTGTCTCAAAATCTCATTTAGCATCATTCATTTCTTATGATGGAAAATGTTTCATTTGCATCAGTTCTTTACCATCTCATCTTTCCTTGATGTTCTTTTCTATTGTCTTTTTCAAAGCATGTCATTGTGCATTGTCAAATCAAAAAAAAATTGATCGACTGATTTTCCAGCCTAGAGACAAGTTGTCAGGGTAGCAGCAAAAATTCATTAAGACTGTTATAGGGAGAGACTATGTAAGCAAAAGGTGATGAGCATTTTAAAAATATATATATTTCAACAATTTTCATACTGTTAGAAGATCTCTACAGGTGGGGAGACTCATTCCAGAATATTAATACGTCTTTGTATGTCTATTTTTGGTTTGGGTGACCTTTATATGGTATAGTTGCATTTGAAATGGGAACTTTATATGAAATTAGGCAGCTCATAGCAAGCTAGTTTGAAACAACACATTATATGTAGTTTGATTTGACCTACTTGAAGACCCAGATATTTATTTCAAGTGGTCCAGTTTCAGTAACTTACCTAAGTATATTCTTTAAGTCCTGGTGGTAAGGGTTTAGATTTGGGTTATCATCCAAGTTCCTTAATCACCTGACGTACCTCTAAACCGAAGTACTTCTCTAAAAAATTGTTTAATAAATTTACTACAAAAACAAATTTATTTACATTTGTTTACAAAACATCCTTTACATTTCTAACATATGGTTTGGTAAGTTTACTGTTACTCTAATTATCAATGATGGCCCTAATCCCAAATCCTTAACTTGTGTTAGAATATGCAGTTTTTGGCCTTTAAGGGTGTTTAGGGATTAGGGCTATAATAGAGATATGTAGTGCTAAATCTAGACCTCAGTTTTAAATCCATTTGGTCGTGGGTAAAGTCAATAAGATGTCGTTCAAAAATTTACAAAATTGAGATCCATCATAATTAAAGATTAAACGTTTTAACATGGATATCAGCATTAGGACTGTGATAGGTCTAAACAGAAGTGTCAGCAGCTAATAAGACAGACTTTAACAGACTTCAGTTAGTCCAGAGTAAGGCAGCCAGATTAGTGTTAGGATGTTCATGCTATACCAGTATTGGATCAAATGCATAATAAACTTTTTTTGCTTCCAGTACAAGCTAAATTACACTACGGCTCACTTTTATTTATAAAGAAAGCAACACTGTTAAACACACCACATTTTTCTCTGCTCAGCTGCAGTATCCAGATGAAATATACAATTTTTAACAAAAGTGCAATATAGTAATTCCTCAAGCCAAAAGTAACGTTTTGAAAAACTGTGATATTTAGAGCATCTTTTACGTGGAATAAACTGGCTTATGCAATTAGAGAACAAGCTACTATTCCTAATGTAAAAAAAAATAAAATAAAGTCTATTTACACAGTTTTTAATTATTGTAAATATTGTAAGAGGCCAGTGTTGTGACCTGTTTTTGATTCTTGTGTATTGTGCCTAATATCAATAACATTGTAACATATATTTTTACAATTACAAAACCTCACTGTGGCTGTAAGAGCCAAATGATGTGGATATTTTTTCATCTACTTTTTTACTGTGTAATGCTGTATTAGATTATACTTCATCGCTTGGGCCCCAGAAAGACCACTATTGTGGAAGCTAATGGGGTTCCTTATAAATAAAATAAATACATAAATAAACACCTTTGCTTATCAGTCTGAAAATTATACAGTCCAAAATAAAGACACTTAAATTTCTTTGATAAATTCCTGAACCCTGAAAACCAATGTCATTTAGCAACTGCAGAACTTCAAAAATGGGTCAAAAAATTCAAATACATGCAAAACCCCCCAAAACAAAACGTGCTCACTGTTGGCTATAAAGCTTATTGTTGTGAGCAAACTGATGGGAGATTTAAGAGTGGGATAGCCCCGCACCCACACATAAAAATACCCCACTATCCATAGAATGATATCATGGATAGAAAAGCACCGAGTTGAATACAGCCGGTCTCTGCAAAGAGGTGAAATGTAACCAACAACCTCATAAAAAGCACAACGCACAGGTTACTCAAATCTTAGCTTCCCTTTTTTGACACCAGCCGCTGACTGCTCAGCAATTCCCTCTGACTCACTGGCCTTACCAATCGTTTGCCTGTCAAGCACCCGCTGGTGCGCAGTGTGCATATTTAATCATTAACAGTAATCCTCTTACCTTTCTACAGTTAAATTTCCAGGCACCAAAACCTACATTGACCCCGAAACCTACGAGGACCCGAACAGGGCTGTCCATCAATTTGCCAAGGAGCTGGATGCCTCTTGCATTAAAATCGAGCGGGTTATTGGAGCAGGTGAGCCCATCCCATGTCTCTCAGCTCTTTGTGTTTAGTCAGTCGGTGCTCTCGTATATCACACTGACAACCAAATATTTACACCTTGAATGGGGACACAGCTTTATGCATCGTGTATTGATGGAGCAATTGCAAAGAGGGGAAAAAAGTTCATTGCAATTAATGTGTGGGCTACATTTGGTAGAGGCAATCACAGCGCTACCCACAGCTGAAAAATTGCTGCCACATGGGTTTTACAGAGGCGGTCAATGACAGTATCTATGCATCTCTAGCATGTCTTATTATAGGTGTGGGCTGCATTCCCCTGAGTATAACAAGGTGTCACACTCCAATTTGTATTCCTGCTCTGCACAGCTGCTTTGTCTCAAAATACACTAATAAATTTGTCATCTTGAAGTGCTGCTTCTTCGTTTTTTTGTACCCACTCTCCACCTCACTCATGAAGTTTCACCTCACGCAGGAGAGTTTGGAGAGGTGTGCAGTGGCCGACTGAAGCTGCCTGGAAAACGGGATGTGTCAGTTGCCATCAAGACACTCAAAGTGGGATACACTGAGAAGCAGAGGCGTGACTTCCTGTGTGAAGCCAGCATTATGGGACAATTTGACCATCCTAATGTTGTTCATCTGGAGGGAGTCGTGACGAGAGGTAAACACAATGTTTAAAACTCTAAATGAAGGAGTTCAAACATTCTGTAAGACCTGCATCATCAGAATAGATTTAGCTGGCAAAGTTCGACTGACGTACCACATGAAATTAGTCGCATTTCCTCATTTAGATGCAGTAATAAAAGGAGCAGATGGTGAGCTTTAATTAAATGCAATGAAATGTATGGTTAAAAATAACTGCTTTTTATTAGGGAGTATTTTGTGAGCAAATAAAATGTAGGTGTTAATTAATAATCCCCTTTCTTTTTTATTTCTCCAGGAAAACCAGTCATGATTGTCATCGAATACATGGAGAACGGCTCATTAGATGCTTTCCTCAGGGTAAGTATAACCTTCGATGTGCAGGAGGCTCTGAGCGGCATCTTTTGTAACTTTTCCCTGCAGTTTGCTGGAAAGTGTCTCAGAGAGTGGGGAGTCTGCAGCAGAATTTGTGCAGTGCATAAATATCATAAATCTTGTGCTGAAGCTGCTGCAGTGCTGTGACCTACATTTCCATCATGGTCAGTGAAAATGGCTGACCTGTCTGTGTTTTACTTTGCCATGCAGAAACACGATGGCCAGTTCACAGTCATCCAGCTGGTGGGAATGTTGCGGGGTATAGCAGCGGGAATGAGATATCTTTCCGATATGGGATATGTCCATCGTGATCTGGCTGCACGGAATATCCTGGTCAACTGCAATCTCGTGTGTAAAGTGTCTGACTTCGGCCTGTCGAGGGTGATAGACGACGATCCCGAGGCTGTCTACACAACAACCGTGAGTCAATTAAAGCACTTGCTCTCCCCACCAAGAGCCCTGTCTGAATTCTCTAATCAAGTCACTGCTCGTGAATGTTAGAATGAGCACCAGCCTACTCTACACCATTTTTAGTATGTGAAACTGTGTATTTTACCACAACTTCCTAACAGGACGGTCTTTTTTTGTAATGCTTTAAAGGTGTAAGTCATTAAAATCGAATATTTAATAATGCTTTAGAGTTCAATTATAATTGTTATATAAATGAAAATCATTAAAATGTCTGGAATTTTAAATGCTGTTATTAGTGGCCATCTGGCAAATTCACAACAGGGAACAACCTGAATTCTTCAATAATCAAGAGACCCTTAAAGTGAATCAGATTAATTTGTAAAATTGTAAAATGGCAACACTAAAAATGGATTTTACTCATTAGCATTATGGTGAAGGGAAGGACTGGAAATGTCCTCAAGAAAAAGATAAAAATGTGTAATGTAATATTTAGGGTGGTTCGAATATATGATGGACATTCAATTGCAACTCCACAAAATACCAAGCCAGTACTTCAAGTGTGTAGTCTTTCAGCTGATATCGGTTTTGTGAGCAGCAAAACAGTAAAAATGGTAAAACATTAAGTTTGCATTACATTTTTTTACATTGTAAAAAGAAGAATGGATGCACTTTCGTCAAGGTTCTCAGAAGCAAAAGAGCAAGACCAGCCAACTATTTACACTAAGCTTTATGACATTGATAAAGGATTTAGTAGCTATTAAATCCTATAGCTAATAACTAAAAGTCGGTAAAAGTCTGCTAAAGCTGTTTTGTATCTTATGTGTATTTTTGCATATAACTGAAAAATGCATAAAAATCGTTTGATACTGTTTTACTGAACAGGGTGGAAAAATCCCTGTCCGGTGGACTGCACCAGAAGCTATTCAGTACCGTAAATTCACCTCTGCAAGTGACGTGTGGAGTTACGGTGTTGTCATGTGGGAGGTTATGTCGTATGGAGAACGGCCTTACTGGGACATGTCCAACCAAGATGTAAGTTACTTCTGGATGTACGTTCATAACATGACTGACAGGAAAACACATTCACTGGTTTCAACACTTGTAATAACAATAATAATGATAGTCACAATTAGATCTTATTAATGTAAGTGACCCAAATTATAAACCAGTGTTAAGGGTCTCAGTGCACTGAAGTCTGTGCATTACTTCCAATCAGATTCTTGAATGAAAACTACTATTTCACAAAATATTATCTGAAGCCAGACACGAGTTGTCAGAGTATGACAATTTCCCCAGAAGTTCACCCTTAATTATGACTAATAAAGTCCTCCCATTAAAACATTGAAAAAAATCACAGACAGAAATTCTGGTTCGCAATTCTTTTTTGAGGTTTCTTACAAGATCCTCATGAGAGCAGCTCTGCGATGACAGTAACCTTGGGCTTAATTAGTTCAAGAAGTCTTGCTATAATCATGCTGCTTGAATCCATTTGAAGGAGAAACAAGCCTGAAGTGGGACATGCATTGAACTGAAGCCCTGAGAGCATGGATTTGGTAGTGTTATTAATATAAATAACAGGAGTGGAAAACACTTGTCATGCAGAATGCTTTTGATTCAAACGTCTTTAAAAGTTTATAATGACTTATGGTAATGGGAACCAATGTGACTAGCAGTGTTGAACCAATTACACTGCAAACAAGTCAGCAATGAGAGCAAAGACATTTGCTTTGCTTAAATTTTAAAGAACTCCTGCAAAAACATAAATGCCTATGCATCTCAGCAGTATTGCAACTACTGTGAAAACTGTTGTATTCTCTTTGCAGCAATACTCGGATAGTTTGTGCCTTGTAGGTGTCAACAAGTAATTTCAAGTAAGAGCTGAGCTGAAATGTAATATCTTCTGTCCTTGAGAAGTGTGTGGCTAAAATAGAACCAACCAACTAAGTGGTTTGCTGGTGACCTGGTGGAAGTTATACAATCAGTCATCTGTCTAGCTTTCCTAAGTCCCCTGGTTATATTATACTGCAAACTCTGTAAGTTAGTTTTTGTAGTAAGATGATGACTTATTAGTGAGTGAATAGAAAAATATTGGCATAATAATAAATTCACAACACACACTGATTCTTATATAGCACTTTTCTACTCGACTTAAGCACTCAATGTGCTTTATATAACATGTCTCATTCAAGTAAGCATGGTCTTTCTACATCTATCACCTACTCACACTCCAGTCATGAGCAACTCAGGGTTTAGTACCTTGTCACCCCAGACATTGAGTGTCTGTGACTCTGGCAGTCAATACTACACAAGTTTTAAAACTTGTGAATACACTTACACAAGATCAATTAAGGATCAATTTATCTATTGACGCCATGATTTTTAGATAAAAAGTTAATGCAATGGAATATAACAACCACTAAGCCGGCCTTTTCTCATCAAGCAGTGCATGCCTATGTCTATGAAGGTTCTCAGTCATCCAGGTCATCGTAGTCTAAGGAGCTTGGAAAGAAAAGCGTCTGGACTTCTTTAAGTTTCTTGAAGACGGGAGGGGGGGGTCCGTGACCTTCTTGGCGGACACTCCCATAGGGTTTAAAATCTGGGACTCTCCACCATTTGCTCTTAGAACTGAAGACGGTTCTCGGATGAAACATCAAACGTCTTCAAGAAACCTAAAGAAGTCCGGACGCTTTTCTTTCCAAGCTTCGTAGATCAGTGTATGCCTAGAACACGGTGACAAAAGGAACTAAGGAACAGCAACATCAAATGCGTAAAACAGCTGCTGCTGGACAGTCAAGTGTGCTTTCATAACCTGAAGTAGTGCCTGTTTATCAATCACTTCGTATTCTAACAATGTGATTTTGACTGTTCTTCTGAACTTTGTAATGTAGTTAATGTTTGTTTGTAATTGTTATGTTATGTTATGTAATTATTTTTGACCCTTATTTGTTTAAGTTTTTTAATCCAAGCAGAAATACTTTCCCATCTAAGTTTCCTTCCAAATGTTATGGAGCAACCAGGAAAAACTGATGAAAATTAACCTATAAGGTTAAATCAAAGCACATTTATATGATGCACTAGTGTCCTCATTAATTACTAAATGATCACTGTACCTTTTTTTAAATCAAATAAATGTGAACATAAACACATTTGTAAGCATCCCAAAGTAAAAGAGGAAGTAGAGTAAAAAGATTTCCCTGTGCTGAAGCCACAAGAACTGCAGTCTAAAACAAAGTGTCTCAACTCAGTGTCTCAGAGCTAAAGATCGCAAAGCTCTGTAGGGTACTCCTAACACATGTGTTTTTAAAGTGCAGAGGAATACCACTTACTTGACTCATGAACCACAGACTTGTAATCATGATTCATTCTTTCACCCATCTTGCAGCCTCACCATCAAGTAAATTCAAAGTCATCTTCCTGACTCTGGACATTACCCACATTTTTCTACCTTTATGAACAAATGTGGGGTTTTTTTCAATCCCGCTCTTCACTTTACAAATGTCACAAATTGCTATAATGACTGACTCACCCGCAGCTCTCTGAGTGCTGTTGCCTTCTTTCCTGCCAACTCCCACTGAGATAATCCAACAGTGCCAGACCATTTGAAGCTGTTCCTTATTCTCAGACACTTGACACATTTTGATTGATAGTGAAAGGCGAGTGAGTTCTGGCTTTAGGATTCCTATATGGCTTCCTGTTTTAGCACCCACAGCATCGTAGCTAAATATGATTAATATTCTCCTGCGTTCCAAAGCAGAGGCCTGCTGATTGAACAATCAGATGTTAGAAATGCTAAACAAGATGGCTGGGCGTGAAAGTGGGATATGTGGTGTTTTGACCGTCTGCTGCTTGACAGACATCAATGTCAGAAATTTTTTCACTTTGTCAAGATGTCAGCAAACATCCTCCAGGGATACAGGAAGAACATTATTTGCATTTTTCCCAACAGTTTCAGTGTTTTGACACTGGTTCCCTCCATGACTCATTCTTGTCTAAGCAGTCCTGACAAGAATAGCTGATGAATATATGCAGAGATATAAACATCTCAACACATTAAAGGAAGGAGAGCTTGTTGCATAATGTTCCTGTTGCACCTACAATTTTTAAAAACCTTGAATTTTTATTAACTCTGCATAAAACGATATGTGTAAATTAGGTCAAAAAACGTTGCAGAAGTTCTTTTCAGTTTATTGGTATATACTGTACAAGAGGTCTTTGTTTAGACATATGAGGAATAGTACTCATGAGTTGAATAAAATTATCCAGCACTCCCCACCCACCCTAATCTAAACCCAATCTGTGTGTGTACTTGAATTATACATTAAATAGTTGTTTAGTATGGGTGCCATTGTGTCCATAGATTTCAGTTCAAACTGGTGAAAAATGTGACCAAGATAAGGCCAACTTTATTCAGTGGGTAATTAGTGAGTTTAGTATTACACTTCCATAAAGTCGAGGGGGAGACAGACTGAAATAAAGATAATCTTCAATGATGCTTTAAAGGCCAAGATATCCCAGGTCCTACAAAAAGTTAGATGCAAATATCTCCTAGTAATACACATACTAATTATGTAGCAAATTTGGTAAAGGTCAAGTCTATCTACAAGATGCCCATTGCTTTAAAAATCTTTGCTTTAAGTTTACGGTATCTTAGCTCTCAAGCTGGGTGACAATCTTCTGCACATAAATTGAAAACACTTGGCCACAGATAGAATTTGAGATCATTAACCATTCCAGAAAGAGGTTATATAGCAGAATGATGCTGCTTATAGCTACTCTAAATTGTTCTGCATTAAATCCTCATGATCCCATTGACTGTAACAAAGCTGGCACATGATAGACAATTTTTTCTCAGGTCTAAGTGTTTTAGGTAACCATGACATAATTAAGGTACAATACTGCTATATACCAAGAGCTTAGTGAGCTTGGCTTGTGGTAATATTATACTATAGACTAATGCTAAAGGGTTGTGGGTTAGGGTTTAGAGTTAACGTGAAACTAAAACTAGACTCTGAAGGGTTTCAAATGATAGTCAACGCTGTTAGTGAGAGTACAGGGCAGGAGGTTGGGATTAGGTTGATGCTAAAAGCTGGTGTTAAATGGCAAAAAGCTAGACTGAGACTGAAGGGTTTGAGGTATGGGTTAGAGGTATTTTTTTTTTTTTTGGATTTAGGATGATACCAAAGGCTGATGCTACTTTCTTCGTCTGTTTTAAATTTTACAGGTCATTAAGGCAATAGAGGAAGGATACCGTCTTCCAGCCCCCATGGACTGTCCGCCGGGTTTACATCAGCTAATGCTGGACTGCTGGCAGAAAGACCGAGCCGAACGCCCCAAATTTGATCAAATAGTTGGCATCCTTGATAAGATGATACGTAACCCTAACACACTGAAAACCCCAGTGGGAACGTGTACAAGGTATGGAAATAAGACCCCTAATGATTTATTATAAAATGTAGGCTTCATAAGCTATAGAACTTCAACTTATCACACTGGTAAATGATCTAGAGTGTCCAGTGGATGATTTAGCCTCTCAAGTTCAAAGATGAAAGATAAATCCAGGGGGATCGATAGCCCAAAGCAGCTTTCATGCCTTTATGGTCAATAGCAGGGCTTTTAAATCAATCTCTATAATGAGTTTCTAGTACTTTGGAGTGCAGTGGGAACTCCGGAGCTCACTCTGACGTTTGTCAAATGAATTCTTCTCGCAGTCAGAACATGCTTTCCACTGTGAGATGAGGCTCAGAGGTTATAACTGGTTAAAAAGCATTTTCTGTACAGAGACTGTACGGGGTATGTTCCTGGGAATGTATTCAAATCGAAAGGATATTGACAAAAACATTTTTCAGAAGCAGAGCATGGAATGCAACATCTATTTGTGATATTCTTATCGACCAAAGCCTCCAATCAGCAAGTTTTTCCCCTGCTTATAATTTACCGCACTGCTGGATGCCTTTGGTCACCGCTCTGTCTCATCTCTTGTTTGATTGTGTTTTCAGCCTAACGTTTCCTTTTTGCATAAGACTTAACCATTTTTCTGTGCTCATCCCACAGACCAATTAGTCCCCTGTTAGATCAGAGCACACCAGACTTCACTTCTTTCCGCTCAGTGGGAGAGTGGCTGGAAGCCATCAAGATGGAGCGATACAGAGACAACTTCACAGCAGCTGGCTACAGTTCCTTGGAATCTGTGGCCAGGATGTCAATCGAGTGAGTAGATAGGAAACCCGAAGGGGTTTAAGCATTAGTAGGGAACATTAAAACCAACTATGCTTAAACTGTGCTCTCCTCTACACTTTATTACTTGTCCTTGAGTAAAAGCTTCAGCTGTATTCAGAAGTAGAATTGTTGCTAGAATGTGTTTTGAGTTTCTGTAACCCACCATAAAGTGGCTAATACTAGCTTTTATTTCACCAAGAAAAAACAGTTCTTTTTCTGAACCACATTGTCTTGGGAATAAGCCTATTTATTTGTTTCCATATTGTTTACCTGTGATCTTGATAAACTCATTACCAAGTATATTTCGATAAAAAGAGCTCCAAACTTCCCAAAGGGGAAAAAAAGACTACTTTAGATTATGGGTTTTGCTATCTCACCTTGTGAAAATTCATTATTAAGATTCATAAACAAGCCTGCTGTGTTTAGCTGTATACTCACAATAATGGAAAAGCTGAGGCTGTGATGGTGCACTGACTCATAATGTTGTCCTCTTTTCCAGGGATGTGATGAGCTTGGGGATCACTTTGGTGGGCCATCAGAAAAAGATCATGAGCAGCATACAGACTATGAGAGCCCAGATGCTGCACCTCCACGGCACAGGTGTCCAGGTGTGACGATCTCTGACAGGCTGCCTTCGGAGAGGGCGCGAACAAAACTTGACTTGGGACATAAATGGAATAATTGTCAAAGCAAACAGACGTATGATGTCTGACTCTTCTGGCTGTGCCTGGAGTGAAATCATTCCTTTGTTTCTCAGTGAATGATTGTGGTCCGCCTCTTTAAAGGGCACTAAAGAGAGGAAAAGGGCAAAAAACGGCAACAAAAAAGAAACTACCTGGATGAGACAAATGTATTTTTCCCTTCTTTTTGTAGAAGCGCGTACAAACTAAACCACATATCAAACAGCGCATTGGAAAGGAGTTTGCCGCTTATATTTCTCTTTATGTGCACACGTTGTCTAAGGATTTCCTTTATACGAACTACAACACCTTGAAGCGGTTTTAGTTGTTTGTTTTTTTTCGTTTTTCTTTGTGTCTGCCATGATGACACGTTTTGGCACATATAAAAGTTCTTTTTCCTCTCCTCTTTGGATGTGACAACAGGGTAACTCTTTTATCCAAACAGAGACAGAACTTTTTAGGTGCAGATTTCAAAGTACTTTTTGTACTGGACTGTTTGCAATGACTTTTGTTTTCCTTCATGTGCTGTTGAAGTGAAAATATTATCCTCACACGCTTGTTTTGCAGCCTGTTGGAGTGGGTTCTTGACCTGGTTAAAAATTTTCAGCATTTTTTAGCAAACAATTTTCTGATGAGTGCAGCACAGATGGAGATGCAGGAAGCAAACTGTTCTTTAAATCACCAGAATTTTTTTCTATCAGAGTAGCAATATCCTTCATCTATCCTTCCCTTAGTGTTCACTATGGGATACACTTGGTTGTTGAGTAGAATGTGTCAGCACGTTTGAAAGATTGTATTGGAGTTGCAGCTGTGCTTTGCCATCATTTTGCCTAAAATGTTTTACATAGTGGTTGTTTTGAAGAATTGTTTAGCTGCGAGTGCGTTCAAGAATTGACGAGACGTAATACTGCCTTAAAATGTGTTTAAGTATTGCCACTATTTTAGGCACTTCAATGGCATTGCTTTCTGTGGCTCATTTCAGTGTTGTACTACTTCCTTTGTCTGTGTGTTTGTTTTTAGCATGATGTCTTTTTATCTTGAACTTGTGTGCACAGACTCTGTTTTATGCCACAAGTGACACAGTCAGTGAGAAAGAGTTGGACTAAAAAGAGCAATAATTACCAGGTAGAAATTGTCCTCGACTGGGACTTTTTAAGGTGCTAGATGACATAGAAAGCATGGGTGTGCTATTCTGAGACAAAACCTTTGGAAAGATTCAGTCACTGCTGCAAAAGGAAACAAATGTACCTCTTTGACCTGAAATGGTTTGGAAAAAATACCATGCCAACTCATCAAATGAAATAATCATGTTGTATTTTGCCGCTATGATATGTTAAACATGTGATGAGACTCTAACGTGGCATGAAAATGTTGAATTGAGTGACTGCAGAGATAAAACACTTAAATGGTGCCAATTAGCCATGCTGACATCATTTTCTAACAAAAAAAAAAAATCAACAAGCCCCTTCAGGGTCTAGGTATGAAAATGCCAGACCAAACCATGGAGCTCCTCTCAGACACGGACTGTGTTGTTAAATCCCTCCGTCCCGGCTCTGCAGGCAGCCATGCAGCCTCCTTGTTTATTCATGCGTCTTTGCAGCTCATCACTCACAGGAGCAGATGTGACAGAACATGCATTAAAGTGTTTCTTAAGATTCCTCTTCTTTTCTTCCATATGGCTTTCTATGGAGAACAGAGAAGAGGGGGCTGTGCAGAGGATGTGCTAAAAGCCAATCAAACTATTTGGTGCCATCTGTCTCCACTTCAAAAACAAACAAACAAACAAAAAAGACTCCCAAAAAAAGGAAAAGTTTCAATGTTGAATTTGTTTTACTGCACTGTCCTTTGATACGAAAATGTAGGTATTCAGCTGTCACATAAAGGGAAGTGGTGTTCTTCTCTCACTGCTGCTGCGACCTTAAACATAACTCTGTGTTTTCAAAGCTTTACTTATTTTCTCACCATAGAAAAAAGTACAACCAAATCAGGAATCAACCTGGAGCTCGCTAACAGCCAGTAAAACCAACTGAAGCTTTCTTCATTTTTTCCTCTGTCATCTTTGAAATGTCCACATTGGGCCACAAGCACTAAAAAAGGGTTCTTTTTTTACCTTTTGTCCACCCTAAGCCTGTGACTGAAATTGGTTTAAAAATCTAGAAAAGACAACAAAAAAGGCCTCCACAGACATTATTGAATCCTGAGCCTCACCAAAAAAGGCTAAGATATAGTCTTGACAATGGACAACACACAGGGTTTAGAACTTCAGCTTGTGTAATCAATTAAGTCATTTCAAAGTCACATTTTTTCTGTACTTTCTCAACCGTTTGCTGTATTGCCACCTGTTAGTTTGACATATTTAAACCATGCTTGTGTGGATGAAAAATTCCTTCTCAGTTTGAAAAACATGCAGTTTTGTCCTAAAATGAACAACGTCATCTGGCTTAGTGTGGATGCACTGTTTAAATCCATTTTCACAGTGGGATTCATCTTGGGATGAGATGCCCAAAATTAGCCCTGACCAGCCCATTATGTCATACACAACCTCCCTTTATCCATACAGCAGACCTCAGCAATTGGGCCTTTGAATTGAATACTGGCATAAAGTCATTCAGTCAGCACAAAACTCCCCAGTTCACAGGCAGCGCTCTGTCTCTCACCATCAACTCCCTACACCCTGCTCTGATTTTCAAAGCAGACCCCTGGAGAAGGCCCCTCACACCTACTGTAGGATGCCTCTGTCCCTCTTTTCTTTCTGTTCTGGGAAGACAGCAGTTTGAGCCAAACTGAGATTAAGGCCAGGATGCAATCAATACAATGTTTCAACTTGAATCATGCTGAACTTCAGGTTGCTCAACTCTGGAAAAAAAGGAGAAAAAAAAGTTTAGTTGTGACTCTGTTTCATGGAGAAAAAAAAAAAAGTTTAGATGAAAAAAGGCAAAAAAAAAATAAAATAAAAGGAACCTGCAGGGTATAGAGTGCTGGCTGAAATTTAGGAGTAGCAGATAGAATACAAACATATTTTTTAAATCTTGTGGTTCAGCAGTTGGAAATTTGTTTCTCCACTTTGGCAAGGTGGTGGATGCTTCCAAAGAGTGCAGCACTGTCAATTGTTTGAGAAAGAGCTGGGGTTTGAGGACATCTTTGTATATGGTCTAATTGTAAAACTTGTACATTTTATTTATATTGATTTTCTTTCTTTCTTTGTTTTTTTTTTTTTTTTTACACATATTACTCAGTAGAGAGCTCTGGATACATTGAAAATGCACTATATTTTTCTATTTCACAGATGAACTATTGTCACCCACAAGATTTCAGTTGTACATATTTTGTTCATTTAGGACCAAAGACAGCTAATAGGATTCCCATCTTTCCTTTGACTGTTTTGATTTTGCCTTCTAGTTTATTGTACAGTAATATAAATGTTGATTCATTATTTATTTTTCTGTGATCAGAGTACTGAGAATATTCACTGGTCAAAAGTATTTTCCCCAAAAGCAGAACTGTAAGATCATTTAATTAGACAGTTTCTTGTTACATAGACAATTCTTTTTGCTTTGTAACCTTTGTAATAGACTGTACATATATTTTTGGAAATATAATACAATCTATATAATTTTCAAGTCTCCTTTGCAGTGTTTTTTTTTTTTTTCTTTATACGCCGTTTATCCTATCCTGTGTTATGTTTTTTTTGCCATTTTTAGTTGTGGACACAGGTATTCAACATCATTGCCCATATGGAAAAGATATATATATAAATCTTATAAATTTTGTATCTGTCTTTTGTGAAACTTGTATGAAAAGCATATAAGAGTGAAAACAGATATAAGATCCCTTGAAAAATTATATAATGAAACTTGTATGTTTTGGATACTTACTAAAACAATGTATGAAAGTAATGAGAAAGTGGCCACTTTCATGAGTAAATCATGTAAGCCTTATATGATTTACTCATGAAAGTGGCCACTTTCATGAGTAATCACATTTAAGTTTTTACTATTTCTTTTCCATATGGGTGTCCTCTGTTGAGTCTTTATTTGATTGGAAACACCAGGCATTTGTAGTCTTGTTTTACTTAAAGAACAAGGATCTCATCTTAAAGTGGCTTTGTGCAGCTCTTCTCTTTGTACTCTGGCTAAGACAGTGTTTTTTAGTTCTTCCTTCAAACTTCCAGTCAAACTTCTCCTCCAAAGCCACAGCTGTTAGCCTGAAATGACAATATTAGGGATATCTCCTGTCATGGGTATACACAGAGAGAGTATAACAAAATGAAAGAAAACAATTTCAATCTCCTCTGTGATTTTACAGACCACTCAAGATTTCATTGAGGTTTGATCAACATCAAGAGACAACAGTCAATGACCCCAGTAAAGTTTGAACCCAGAACCTCTTTACTATTAGTCTATAGTGCTAACCTCTACGCCATCATATTGACCATAGAGAGCCTTTAAAAAAAAGTGTAAAGCTAATATTTAATCTAGTAATAAAAAAAGTATGTATTTTGGCTCTGAAAATGTCACATGGTTCCTGCACTTGCAGTTTCCAAGGATCAAAAATGATGGGAACAAATTTTCAAAAGATATTGTTCAAAAAGATCTACTGATTTTTAGGGGTTCGGGTGGGGGGCACTCACGAATTTTCCACGGAATATATAGAAAGACTTCTCTGAACTTTTTGAAAAGTTATATTTGTCAGTATGAAATTAAATGCAACAGGTATTGAACCTTCCCAGTCCTGCTTCAGAATTACATTCCCACACAGGTCTTGTCCAGCACACTACACGCTGAGTCTAAACACAAACTTTTTCCTTCTCTGATTTCGCTAAAAAGGCCAGAGGGTACAGCTGGTTACAGGCCTTGAAAAGTGTGTTATTGCAACCCTTCTGACAGACGCATCAGTTTTCCAAAACTCTGGATCCATCCAAAGCTATTTTTTTTTGATAATTCTCACTATAATATCTGTGCATATTTCTCTTTGAAGTAGGACAAAGGTAAGGGTATCATTATGAAATATCTTGTGTTCAGGTTCAACTAGTCTACATTTCCTAATATTAGTTCAGAAAACTAAATATTCCGTTACAAAAAAGTTTGTGGTAGTTGCATATAAACCATGGTTACAGATGATCATCCAAAATTCCATCCTTCCAGAGTCTTTCTGCTCCCATGCCACCAACAACCAAATAAAAAAAAATAAAAAAATCTAGAAAACACTGTTTAATTATAAAAACTCACAAAGAAAGCATAATATAACACTCTCAACTGCACATACAAGCAAATTAGTTAAATTTGGGACAATAGGTCGGTCTGTCTCAGTTAATAACAAGTTTAATAACTGATCAGCATTATGGTTTAGTTTGCCTCGCCTGGTTAGAGAAGGATGAATATATTACTTTAAATGAATCAACACCCTCTATCAGAATACTCGAAGCACATGCCAAGGAGTTCCTGCAATCTTACACTCTAGCTTGTCAATTAAAGAAAGACCTAGTGTCATGGATCGTTGTGCGGCAGGCAGGAGTTGGACCCAAAATGCAGGACTCACAGACTCAGGGGGTGAACTCAAAATCACGGCTTTATTTGCTGGCAGGGAAAAAACATACAAACTAAACTAAACTAGGGAAACAACAAACTAAAACTCACAGGGAGATCCACACAGCATGAGGGATGACACAACACCAACTCAGAGAAACACAGGGTTTAAATACACTGGGAAGTAACGAGGGGAATGAGACAAAGAAGGAGAGCACAGCTGGGGGAAATCAGAACTGACGAGACAGGGGAGCTAAGCTGCACACACTAACATAAGACAAAGACTTTCACAATAAGACAGGAAACAAGAATTACTAAACAAGATGCAGACATGAAACTGAGAGACAGACTAGACACTGAACAGAACTGCAATACACATGAGAACCTAAAACCTAAGAACTAATCCCTCACCAAGAATAACAGAAACAGATCTATAATGATAATAATAAACAAAGCACCAGAACATCAGAAAACAATCCATAATGCAAAAATAAACCAAAACATAATAAACTCAAAATACTGGGTCCAACAGACCCAGAACCGTGACACCTAGACTGACTTTTAATTCACTTGAAAACTTTTTGTATTTGTGTTTCTTTCTCTAATAATAGAGTATCTTTACCCAACACTATAAAATGCTTTGACAAGATTGTTTCTATGAATTGGTCCTATTTAACTGAATTTAATTAAATTGAATCAAATCAAGCTGAAATCAAACATTACAGTATCTGACATGGGCCACTTGAAGTCATAGTTTAATAAACTAGTTCCCTCCTGTAATCATTAATGCTTGTTGGCACCTGCAAAGTAGTCAGTCATATATCAATAGAAATCCCTGAATATCATAGATGGATAGATGCAGTAACACTGTAGCCCATTGTTGTGATCATCACAATTGCGGGACTTCTCAAATAAACAAAGGGGAAGCTTCTCTATGCATGTTCTGTGGTTCATGTGCCCACTACCATCTCCTTTGCACATTCTCATCCAGTTTTATGCTAGATAGCTATCAACATGCAGAGTACCTGGTGTCTCCAAGTAAATGGTGAATGGACTGGTTCTTACAAAGCGCTTTTTTACTTTGAGCACTCAGAGTGCTTTATAAAACTTGCCTAAGTCATCCATTCACACTCTGTGCCCTTTTTCTGTACTTTCTCTAGGTAAGTGCTTTCTATCTACATTCACTCTCTAATAGATACATTGGAGAGCAACTTGGGGTTAGTGTCTTGCCCAAGGATATTTGGTATGCAGACCAAACCACCAACCTTCTGATTAGTAGATGACTAGTCTTTCTCCTGAGCTACAGCCACTCCAAGACTGGGAGTCATAATATTACTTGATTAATTTATTAGTCTACTAATAGTCCCCTATTTAAAAAGCAGAAGTAAATTCAGAAATTTATATTCAGACCCACCTTCCTACCTTAACCAAACAAATCTCCAAGGCTGAAAAATTAGGTCAATAGGAAAGTGCTAAAAACTGCAGCTTTTTTTATTGGAGACTTGAGGCTCTTTCCAAAAGCAAATGTAATCCCCACAGACTCCCTTGTTAAGATGTCCAACCCTAGTAACATAACAACACATTTTTAGTCTTTATACCTAAGTTCCATAACAACTCTACAGTGGAAGAACAGTGGATATTTTTTTAACTTATACACTTAGGTACTGTTAAGTCTTAAAAGTAAAGACCACATTGATTAACAGGTGTGCTGACACTAGTCATAGTAAGTGGCAGGTCTTTGCTAGGCCTCACCTCTTTTAAGTTCAAGTTATTGACATTGATATATTCTTTTGCTAGCTAGTTTAATGAAACTCCCTAAAAACTATTATATCTTACTGGGAAACATAGCCCATTTAAGTAGCACTTCCGTTTTTGTAAGTGAAATTCTAATGTATTAAAAGTCTGTTTCTCAGCACTATTTGGCGGTTTTTGCAGTTTATTTGCCCATGTACTTTATGGAGCTTGCTAGTATTGACTTACTAACTTAGCACATACTGTAGTTAAGGCTTCAGAGTCAATACCCTATTTTCTGACTTACCATATAACATACCGCCACGTCTTGTGAAGGTCTACATTCATACCTCCCATCTGCTCATTCGTACCTAACACCTACAGAAAAAGACTGCCTCTCCAACCCCTCCCCTCTGACCCCTTTCACTAAATATTTGTGAGGAGGATGTGTGCCTGGTCTTCCAGAGACAGAAGACTAGGGGGGCTGCAGGACCTGATGGTCTGTGTCCCTCCTGCCTGAAAGTCTGTGCTGACCAACTGCCCCCCATCACAGGATTAAATGATTACAGGCCTGTCACTCTGACATCTGTCACTCTGACATCTGTGTTCTCCTTGCTGCTCCCCTCCCTCTACACTAATGACTGCACCTCAGGAGAATCATCTATGAAATCCCTGAAGTTCACGGATGACACCGCAGTCTGATACAGAACAATGACGAGTTTGCATACAGACAGGAGGTTGACCAACTTGTCCACTGGTGCAGTAAGAATCACCTGGAGCATAACCCGCTTAAGATTGTGGAGATGCCCTCCCACTATCCCCCTCCCACTATCCTCAACAATACAGTACCTACTCTAGATCACTTTAGATTCCTGGGATCCACCTTTTCACAGGATTTCAAGTGGTGCTCACATGTAGATTCTGTCTAGAAGAAAGTCCAGCAGAGGTTGTGCCTCCCGTGACTTGGATCTAAGGCAAACTTACACCCGCAGCCAGCCATGGTAGCCTCGATCCACGATGAGGACCCAGCCTCTGAAGCCCAGGCTCAAAGCCAAGCCTAAAGTACAAGCCTGCTCCCTGCTAGCTCCTGCCAAACCCTCGATTGTTGTCCAAGGGGAGAGGAGATGGGGACGAAAATTATCCTGGACTTCTTGGTAAGTAGCCAGACATCACAAAAGAGCTCAAGATGTCCAGAAACACCAATCAGAGCTACTCAAAAGAGACTTTGAACACTTATTCCGCTCACTAAATAGACCTGTGGGTCACATTTCCGTGTCTGGTCCCATCCCTCCCCTTCTGCCCACAGTGTCTCCTTCATCATCAATTTCATTCTATTGGGAACACAGTCAACTAATCAGATCCAAATTAACTTGAAACAAAACTTCTTTCCACAAACATCTCCTATGCCATTTTCCATTCTGCTACTCTCATTGCAGCAGGTGAAATCAGTTCAGCTACTACTGACATCACCT